ACCTGCATTGAAACGAAAACAATGTCACAAGCGAGAAGGCCTTTCACTCTCGAGAACTTGTGGTTTCACAACATTCTCCCCACCAAAGGGCTTCTCACCGCCGTACAACAACTCACAAGTCAAACGATTTGGGGCTTACTACGCGTCATCTGCTGCTGCGGTGTTGGCCATGGTAGAATATCACTAATGCCCACCACTTCAGACAACACGATTTCATGAAGCTTGCCGCCGTGGGCTGTCGCACACGACACTGTCACCGATCCACTTCGACATCAGGCAGACGATGGACGAGACAACACACAACGGATAAGCTTGCAGATCTTGGCTGTCACACATGACACGGTCACTGGGCGACTGACTCGTGGGGCGGACGCTGGACCGGATAACATACATCTAATCTCCATGTTCCACACAGTCTCGCCGCTCACTTTTTCCGTGCAAACTTCTTCCATGCTAACCAGTATCGCCCTTCTCATTTCCTTAGCTTCTACGCCTTGCGCTTCTACGTCTTGCGCTTCTACGTCTTGCGCTTCTACGTCTTGCGCCTCTACGTCTTGCACCTCTACGTCTTGCGCCTCTACGTCTTGCGCCTCTACGTCTTGCGCTTCTACGTCTTGCGCCTCTACATCTTGCGCTTCTACGTCTTGCACGTCTACATCTTGCGCGTCTACGTCTTGCGTGTCTACGTCTTGCGCGTCTACGTCGTTCGGCCGACACTCCAGCTGCTTCTGAGCATCTCCGACCGATGTCACCATGCACTGTACCGACGCGGTGGGCCTTGGATCCGATCCTCCCACTGGCTTCAAATACTCTTCTGACCGCTGCTTGTCTTTAAGCAAAGTCTTCCACGCCTTGTCCGGCGCCCTTCCGGGCGAGGCAAGCAAATCTCGCTTTGCTCCCTCATATTTACTGCTGGCGATGCGCTCGTTAATCTTCTTAAGCCTTTCGTTAAACTCTGTGCGGAGCGCACCTTCTTGCCGTCTAGCACTGCGCTCTTCAAACTCCTCGCTCTGTCGGAGCCTCTTCTCCACGTATCCTCGCAACCTATCGCCTTAAAATCGATACCGAATTCCGTTAGCGATAAAGCTGGCTTCAATGATCCATAGTTCCTGTGCCATGCTCGCTTCGTATCCTGGCGTGGTCGCCAAATGTTGCGAACCCTCTGGTTCTCTTACGTATCAGGAACGAACGACCCCACACGGCACGAGGACAACTATTTATTCTCACCAGTATATTTCACTTCCATCGACTAAAATAATGAACAACGAATGTAACAACTGAATAACTAACAGTAAAACCACCAGGTAGTTATAGCGTGAAAATGACAGCGTATATGAGAAAAGCATACACATACAACATACAACTACAGCGCCCACGGCAAACTGCACATAGCGCATGTAGCATATACTACGTCGTAATCATCAGCGGTACGGCGGAGTCGGGATACAACTGCATTGACACGAACACAATGTCACAAGCGAGAAGGCCTTTCACTCTCGAAAACTTGTGGTTTCACAACAGACACCGTCTCCCGCACCGTACCGTACCATCAAACACAGCTGGCCACATACAGCTGCCCGCAATATTTAATTAGGGCTTTCAAATGCAAGTTAATAACGTGAAGCAACTTGGAAGAATGGGGGAATGCATGTAGGGCGATAGTGCGGGTTCGAATCCCAGGATTAGCCTAAAAAAAGTAGGAAAAATCGAAAAATTTATAACATCCTATGCTTTTTTGCCGTCAGATACGGATAGCGCCAGGCGTGACACAAACAAACAAACAAACAAACACACACACAAATACCAAATTAAAGCTGTGTGGACCCTGGCTAGCGCCAGACGTTACTGAAGTAACGTCTTCTGCATAGCTACGGGACTAATGTTCTTTTGTGTAGTGTGGCAACGTTGTGCCTAAATGTGTTTTGTCACCTTCTTGTTTATTATTGTTATTATTATCATTCGTTCTCCCTTTTTTTGTTTTTGTTGCTGATACACACTTGTCACGCTTAGTTCATACTTGTATACCCTTGTTTTCTGCACACTTTTGTGAGAAATCGCACCTCGATATTCCAGTGCTGTCATTGTATCGTGTCACCCTACCTTGATTGCTATATTATTATTATTATTATCATTATTATTCAACGCAATAAATAGTGTAAGCTGCGCACTCAGTACAAACACCATTAGCAAAACTTGTTTTCATGTAAATAAAGAAGCTTGTCCCTAAACGTTTTCGTCGCCATCTCATCAGAGGATTACTGGCAAATCTGGCGAATCAACAATCCTCTGATGAGATGGCGACGAAAACGTTTAGGAACAAGCTTCTTTATTTACATGAAAACAAGTTTTGCAAATGGTGTTTGTACTGAGTGCGCAGCTTACTCTATTTATTGCGTTGAATACATTTTTATCTCCACGTAAGCTTTTTAACCCTTTGTGTACGGACTGTACAACTTTCGATCCCCTGGGATCGAAACTTTTCAAAATTTCAATCAACCGTAACTCAGTCGTTCCTGGCTTATTTCCAAAAACCACAATATGTAGATCGAAGTAAAAACTCCCAGCTGTCCACTGAAACAATCGCTGACATGCTCCGATGTGCGGTTCCAGAGTTACGAAGCTCGAAAGCCGAATCGCGCCTAATGTCGCTCAAAAGCCGCTTGCGCAGATTTGAGTGAGGGATTTCCCCATCATTCTGGGCATGCAGTGACGTAGAAACACGTTCAGAATGGTAAACGGACTCGTGGCAGTTTGTGAAATTTTTGGAAGTAACAGCTAGTTGTTACGAGCAAGGAGAGCGAAACAGCTGATACAAGACGAGCTTTCCAGGAAGCCCAGGATTGAAACAATCGTCAAAAGGAGACTAAAGTTATGACCCGGAGAATTATGGAATTCGAGTTGAGTCGAGATCAAATTCAGTCTTTGTACATTTTTCCGTACATAAAGGGTTTTAAATTATTATTATTATTTTTATTATTCAACACTAGTTTGGAGGTGGTGGAAAAACAGTTTCGTAATCAGCATTCCCATGCAACGACGCAAATCCACACAATTCAGTAGACACTTCCTTTCCATCAAACGTTTTCGTTCCCTTCTCTTCGGGATAGTACAGGGAATGTTGGAAATTTGGAAAAACACATAACTATAACTAAATAGAAAATAGAGAAAAAGTCAACACTTCAACATAGGCGATAAAATGGTTAAAGTGTTAAAAACTCGAAACCAAAAGCTGCAAGTTGTAGACAAACACGTTGAAACACATCAAGGAACACTTGTCACACTTTCACGTGGTGTGACACCAACCAACTGCGACTCTAACACATTCTCCTTCTGGACACATAGTTCTGGATCTAGTTTACGAATACACAGAGCTTCGAACACAGCAAGATGTAACTTAGACCTTCCACGAGTTATAACCGAAAAGATATCTTCACTATACAACTCACAACAATCAGCACTTCTCAACAAATGGCCCAACTTCTGCGAAAACCAGGCTTAGGGTGAAAATCATTTTTTTGAGAAAAAGATGTTTTGTAAAAAGGTTGTGTCACGTGGACGCTCGAGTGCAGTGAAGTGGAACCAAAGAGAATCTCGCTTGTTTGAAGAAGTAGCAGTCATGGCAGGAAGGGTTTCAGCAGTCAGGGAAGTCAAAGGGCTTCCGGTAGAATATTCCCTGCTACTCCTATAGTCACAACGAAGAGTTTTTGAGCTGATCGAACGGATCCCATCTCCTTCACTCAGGAATGGCGAAATTTCTGCGCTAGCTGCTGCTTGCGGAAAATGGTGAAGAAATCGTCTCCAGTAAGAGTCGTGATGGCGATAGCGAGGAGAACCTGGACGACATTGATCCTAGCCAATCGAAGTATGGAGATACTAGCTGTTTTTGGGCCTCACGCAAAGGGAACATGCGCAGCAGAGCTCATACGTTTGCAGCAAGTTGACGAGGAAAAAGGCTTGAAGCGCAGTGCGAAAACTGTTTTGAATTGAAGTCCTTGGCGATGAAGTGCTACTGAATGCCAGGCGAATGAGCGAGCAGATCGAGAGGCCTCCACTCGAAACTTTCCTCGCTGGACAGCCAGCTGCCAGGGATTGTACGGCGTGCCGAGATAATCGCGAGATTTCACTTGCTGGTCAGCACCAAGCAGACACCGCAGCACGCCAGCACACGATGCGCATACTATGAACAGTGGAACAGTTTAAAAGGCCGTGTTCTTTCTGGTTTCTGAACAGTTGTACTAGATTCACCTTTCAAAAGGTGCCATCTCGACTGGAGTCGGGTTTCCTTGTGGTGTGTAGCGCCAGAGCATGCCAGTACATGTATTACGCCCCAGAATGTGCTGAGTGAGGAGCAAACAAAATTCATGCAGAACTGTGCATGGCGGCTACAGCCTGCAGCACCAAAGCCACAACAGGTCTGCCCCCACATGCCTACCTTGTCATGTCACCTAAACAAAAATCATCCATGTCTCTTCCTTCACTCTGGTGGATCTCTCTTCATTTCTTTCCTGTGATAACAATTTTGTGTTTATTTTGGATTTTTTAACACAATACCCTGGTGTGTTTGAGATACTTTTAATACCACTATGAGTCGACCCACACCTGTAATATTTTGTTTCCTGACCTCTCATGCCCAGTAGAAGCTGAAAATGGGAAAAGTCATTTTGTGAAATTTCACCCTAAGCCTGGTTTTCGCAGATTCTGGGCCAAATGACGCTTGATGGACGATGTCCGATCATTTAGCTCTGTCACCTTTGACGTTTGCAGTTGTTCTCTTGATACCTCCAACGTCCTTTGAATTCATGGTCGTTTTCGTTTGACTCCTCGGTCTTCCTCGTTTCCTCTTGCTGATCGTTGTTGTCACTTCCAGTACCGACGTATTCAAATCTCCAGTACTTTGTCTCTTCACTTTGCTTCTGGTAACTATTCCGGTGTCCGTGAGCTCCGGTGTCACATTGGGCGGTTTTTGGGACGTCTTCCTCGCTTCCCCACGCTAGTCTGAGATGGGTCAAGCTCCTCGCCCGTCGAGGCGGAGGCGCACATGCTTAAATCGACACTGGACGCAGAAAAAGGCGCTCAAGTACCGGACTGCACAGCACATTTTGGAGGACGGCCACGACGAGGACGAGTACCACGAGCGTCAACAGGGACAAGACCTAACGGCACGTGTTGACGAATGCGTGCGCCCAGGTGCTGAAGAGTTCTATCTAAGTACCGATTTTTACATTCTCGGCAATGGAAAAAATAGATAAGATTGCTTCTACTAAGGGTAGGTAGAACGTCCTTCTTCACACTGAACGCACGCGTCGTTCCAAATACTACATACAATTTCACGCACAGGTAAGACGAACAGACAATGTTGCGCACCTCCTTCTCGACGCGTGCAGAACCAGGATCCACCCTGGGTAAGCGGAGTACCACGGGGCACCTGTCCGGTCCAAATGGTTTCGGATCCTGCGTGATTGGTTTGTCATTAATAAGTTTTGTTAGTAGTGACGAGGGGTATCCATTGTTTGTCAAAATTGAACAAAGAAGAGAATGGGACAAAGTGATAACAAATAACAGCAGTACAATACAGCTAAAAAAATTAACGGCCAAGCTTGGCCGCACCAAACATGACACTTTACTTGAACAATTTGAACCCAATTACACTATCCTTCTGTACACACAAATTAGGCTTATACAGACCCTGACAGATGGCTTCCAAAACGTTTAGCTGTAGTCCATAACCATGACGACCACGGCCCAATACAGTGAAAGAAGAGTCGGAATACGAATTGCAACAATCAAGACTAGCCAACAGATGATTGTACCAATCTAACTCCTAGGCCTTTGAAACTCTAGGGACATACTCTCAATACCCATTGTAAGGATTTGTCCGAGAGTTTTCTTTGTTTTAATCGATACGGTTTGGCGTACAAACGGAGCCAAAGTATCAGTTGGTGCAGGCGTAATTCTAACATGAATTATTGTCCTAAAATTGAAATTTCTCTCCGACAAATTCTTCTACTTTTCAATTTTAAGCTATTGGCCATCAAAATCGTGCAAGAGACGGGTACAAACGAACATTTCGAAGGCGACCCTATCTGCAGTTCAGCCGCGAGGAAGAACGGCACGCGCTGGACCTGTTGTGAATGCGGAAACAACACTACAGCAAGGCGAATTTTCGAAATGTTTTTGCTACTCGCCTGGCGCTTCATCGCTGTGTCCTTCAGGAGTTATGGCCGACCGGAGAAATACATGGCCAGCACGACGACGAAGCCATTGGACTTGTTCTCTTGCAACGAAACGGAGTGGCGGATCAAATAATTCACAACTCCACATAATAACTACACTACTGCGTTGCGCGGCTCTTCGCAGACCAGGCGTGTGCACAACAGGACTTCACGGCGGAGAAACTAAATCTAGAACACTACGTGAGTCATTGCTCCATGCCATCAACATCAAGGAGTGCTTGTACTCTCCCGATCCCGTCACCCGCGCCTGTGCATTATATATATTATAGCGGCGTAGCTGCCGGGCCGTAGATGTTGAACTCTTTTGTGTTTAACGACTGCAGGAATCTGCTCGGGGCTACTCCTCGCAGGACTCAGTGTGTGGACAGTCTGAATGAAGAATTCGGCCGACGAGCTCAACAATGCTCGCGAAATAGTCCACTCGGAAGGAAACAATAACAACCGAAATGAAATGGAGAACTGTCTCCGTCTCCTTCACCATCCACGGCTCAGTTTTTGTCACAGCAACTTCGACTCTTTGGGCGATTAAAGTTCGTTGGAATCAGCAAGAAAGGGAGCACGGGACAGGATGTTGCTGATGCTGGGGCTCACGAAATGAAAACAGATCAGCCCTCGACTCTTTGAGCGATTAAAGTTCGTTGGAATCAGCAAGAAAGGGAGCACGGGACAGGACGTTGCTGATGTTGGGGCTCACGAAATGAAAACACATCATTTTCGACTTGCAAAACAAACGTTGGTGCGAAAATTCGACATTTTGATGTTCGACAAATGACCGAAGAACGCCGAACCGAAATTCGGAATGCAAAACCTCACTAGTGATGGTAAATCTATCCTTCTTCGATCAATCCATATCTGGCTTGCATCATACTGGCAACTCACACCAATCAAGAGGGCCCTTGGCAATTCACTTGATATCATGGGGAGCGCATCAAACTATGTCCACTGCGAGCAAATACAAATTGCAATTTCAAATTTGGACTTCACGGAGAATTTCAAAGTTTTAGGAAATTAGAGACCACATGCCACGTACTGATCTTTTCTCTCCAAAACTCAACACTTGGAAGCCAGATATGAAAAAAAAAGAAAACATCATATGAAAAAATTAAGTTACATTGTTAACACCTCGACGAGGAGTAACACCAAACAATTGTAGCGACAACACATTTTCTTTCTGTACACAAAGATCAGGATCTAACTTACGGATATACAAAACTTCTAACACAGCCAAATACAACGCACATCTACCACGTGACAATATTGAGAACACATGATCGCTGTACAACTCACGACAATTGGTACGGGCTGACAGATGTTGCTTGATTGACGAAGTGCGATTCTTAGCTCCGTTGAGTGTTGTCTCCTCCAATATTCCGTCATGTCGCCTCTTCGTGGCATCACCACTATCCGTCTCTTCGCGTTTCCGCGGCCTTCCACATTTCTTGACACTAGCCGTTGGGTGAGCGATGCCTAGTGTCCTTTCAGTTTCGTCTCCTCCATTGCGGATTTTTATTGAGCTTCTTACTCCAACTTGTCCGGTGTCCGGTATTGAGGTTCGTTTTCGCGGTCTACCACGTTAGCGAATACTGACTGTTGTTGTCACTTCTGTTGTCATTGTACGTGTCCTCACCAGTCCGTATTTTTATTTGGCTTCGCGTCACCCTTCCCAACGCCGACAGTGGTTTACATGTCGGTCTTTCACCATCTTTCACGCTGTTCTCTGCTGGCCCCTGTCCTACACACGCAGAGGAGGACGGGCATGCAGTCACATCATCACGGGAAGAGGAAGATCCACTGATGGACAGGACAGCACATTATGGAGGACGACCACGGCGAGGATGACAATCGCGCACATCAAGCGGAACACAACTTAACGGCACATGTTGAAGAGTGCGTGCGCCCAGGTGCTGGAGGGTTCTACCTAAATACCGATCTTCACATTGTCGGCATTGAAAGAAATAGATAAGGTTACTTTTACTAAGGGTAGGTAGAACATCCTTCTTCACACTGAATGCACGCACTGTCCCAAATATGACGTACAGCTTGACACACGGATATGATGGACGTACGATACCACGAACATCCTTCTCCACGCGCGCAGAATCGGCACCAACCCAGGGTAAACGGAGCACCACTGGGCAGCGGTCAGGTCCAAATTGGATAGGCTTGTCTGTCACCGGTTTTTCGTTGGTTACCTAGGCCAGAAATTCCTTTGGATAGCCGTTGTTGCAAGGAAAAGGACATAAGGATACGAGTTAAGAGTAACTCTCCATCACCGTGCCTGCATACTATAATACAGTCAGAAAGTGCAATTACCAGGCACACAACTGACGGGAAAGGATGAACCAAGGGACATATCAACTGTGTGCAAAAGGAACGTTAAATTGGGAGTACCTCAGTACAACAAAACCTTTTCAATAGGACTGATCTGTGCAAGATCAAGGAGAAAGATGGAATGTGTGGTTTGTGTTTCTTACAGAGGTATATGACTGAATGAATTGAGAATTATTCTCCTCTGAAACTTTTTCGCAGGATTGCACAGTCAATTTAAACCCCGAAAGGAACGTGCCTGTAAATTTTGAGCGAAATCTGAGAGATCGACTTTCACACATACATACTTTGGCAGGGTTCTAGCCGAAGGGGGTAAGGGGGCACAGTGCCCCCTCCGCTGTTTGCGCCCCCCCCCCCCCTGGGAAAAATTGCCGCCCCCTACTTATTTTTCGATTTTTCGTGTTTTCCAAAACAATATTTGGAAGTGGAAAGATGGGGTAATCAACTCCATTTCAAAACTATAGACGCGTAGGTTTTTTGAAATATTTAAAATTTGGCTGGAGCTTTTTGAGAATAGTTTTCGGAATATTGCTCAGGTCCGCTCCACAATTACTCTCATATTATAGTTTCTTAACGATTGGATAACAGACGCCCAATTTGGAGAAATTTATGCACAAAGTGATCACAGATTTTATGTGGTATATATGCTGGCATAACGGTTTTTGCCTACGTACGCGTCTATAGTTTTGAAATGGACTGTAGGTAACTGTTTCCCATGCCCAGCCCCCCCCCCCCCTTCCTTACTATTTTGGCCTGGCTAGAACCCTGGTTTGGTATTCTCAGACATGCTCTCCTCGCCACCTTTCTATGTTCTGTTTCTCTACATTACTATAATACTGGTGCAGTGTCGTGCAATGTTATCACATGCAACAATAGAGCAGTAAGCAACAACACAGTCGGACGGAAGACTACCAAGGGTTCTCGACACTTGGAGACATTCCTCTCCAACAGCAGGGAGATATTGCTTGTCGACGAGCCGCATGTGGATACGACGGGTCGCAAAGGAACCGTAGAATTGACTTTGTCGTAAATGTGTGGAAGAATAGACTTATTAGACACCCTTAGCAAACAAGGTTATTTTCCCTCAAACCAGTTAACAAGGTTATGTTGTAACGGTATTATCGTAAGGGGGAAAATACCGTGATTTGGGCTCGACCTTTTAGCAAGATGCACGCTGTTTTTAGTACGCTGTTGCCACAAGAATAGCTTTTACTTCGCACGGTACAACCATTTATGTCATCATATACGCGATACAAGGTGAAATTCGTACTGACTATGCAATATTTGGCCAAAACACGTACCTTTGGTCACAACGATAAATCATCCCCATAACGTTTTTACGCTGCAGCCTCAACGCTATTTGGGTGATCAAGGTACGAGTACCGTAAACAATAGTGTTACCGTTGTTTGTTAAGGGTGTCTATTGAGTGCAGGCGGTAGTTTGTCAAGAGTAATGTCGTCAACGGTAGAGCGTGTCTGTCTGTTAAGATCGCAGACGGCTATATCGCACTTTTCATTATATTTTGTGTCCTTTGCATGCACAGTCTTCTTAACAACGGAGTTTCACACAACCTTCGCTTGTGCGCTCTCAAGTTTCCTACGGATTTTTCAAAGGCCAACATCTTAGATTCAGGTGGTGTAAGGGATTATATTGCTTCAAGTAAGTAACCCGTTTATACCACATCATACATTCCAGGGCTTACCGGTGGCCAATAAGTCAGTGGCCAAAAAGAAATAATAGTGTGAGAGAGGAGAGAACGAGTGAGGAAGAATTGGGTGGGCACGGCCTAGGGATTAATGACTACTTCAGTTTACGGGCAGAGGTTGTCGCTACAGGAGCACACAGAGTTGTGCAACAGCAGGGACATCTGGGATTTGAAGAGAGTAGGAGAAGAGATTTCGTGAAGCTGGGTGGGCAAGCAATTTTAAAAAGGTAATGAAGGGCTTTGTTCAGGGGAGAATGGAGACAGCAAGCAGGCCGCGGTGTTGGCAAGTGCCAAGTACGAGAGCGACGTAAATTATACGAAAATTGCACGCTGCTAGCAGTATGCAGCGAGAGTATAATAATGTGATTGGGCATAGTTGTGGCGCAGAGAATGTGCGAAGAGTATATGTTTAACTTTAAAGCGTGAACATAATGTTGGTCATTTGATGCGATGCAAAAGTGTGAGAATACAGGTAGTATGTATGTCTGATAGATGTGAGATAAAGAATCACTGGTGAGTATAGACCTTAGTCTATGTATTCAACATGCTCCGACCAATGGAGGTCATGCTGAAATATTATTGTGAGGGGTTTGTGTTTTTTTGTGCTCCGGTAAGCCAACTATTCCTGAGGGTGATGTGGGATGACGGTTATTGTGGTGGACGGGAGGATGAGTGTTTTCTTCGTGGTAACTACCACGTACTGAAGCTGACAGGGCAGTTTGCTTTTTTCGAGCTCCGTAGTTTTTCGCAGGTTTTGTAGGAGCCAGCCGGCAGCAGGCCGGTCTGGAGCAGGGTAGGGCCTGGATAATTTAAAATTAGGTAGTAGATAGTTAGAGCGTTCCAAAATGCCCACGTCCGGTGAAATTCGCAGTTGGAATTCGGTCTCTCCGAAAGTTCTAAAGAGGAACACGGGGACTTTCCACGTTCCACTGCACACGAAAACCCTCGAAGTTGCTGAGGCCCTGATTGAACATGGCTACCCCGACCTGATATCCGTGCAGCTGACTACAGTAACGTGAGCTGCAAGGCCACGTTTCATTCCCGAGACCCTCTGACACGACTTTGCCGAAACGGTTTCCATCTCATGTCAGTGGAAGTGCACGTCACTCAACTGGTGCCTGATTCCCTGGAAATCCAAATCCACGTTGTGCCCATCTGGGTCCAAGACGACATTATTATCGAAAGCCTGGGTGTCTTTGGATCGGCCGTTAGGCCTCTTCGCCATGGATTTGTCAAGACGAAGTCAGGGCTCGCCATTGCCACTGGTAGCCCTTGGCGGATTATGCCGGCATAATATTTGGCATAATCTGGGAATTTCATCAAAACATTATGCTCCGGCACAATATACGGATTCCAACGTGTAAGGTCGGCATAATCTTTCGGTTCAGACAAAAATTATGCATAGTGGCATAATACAGCTTTGTCAGAAAGCCTGCAGATGTTTGTTTTTTAATACCCCAGTCAACGACTCCTTGTCATAGCCCTTGGCGGATTATGCCGGCATAATATTTGGCATAATCTTGGGATTTCGTCAAAAAATTATGCTCCGGCATAATATGAGCCGCGCCAAGCTAAAAAGTGGCTTCGTGTTTTGCCAACAAATCAAGAAAATCACCAAAACGTCACAGTTGGCAAAATTCTACTCGAGCGCGATCGCGAAAATATTCACTTTCCAGTTTGCAAGCGGATGAAGAGAGAAGCGTTTTTTTAATGTTTGCGCAACACTTCTGCAGTGTTCCCTCTTTCATCGCTGTGGAGATTCCTCAGTGCTGCCAGAGATCGTAATGGGGCTTCTAGAGACTGTGGAGGTGAGCAGGATGACATCTGTATCCATGTGAGCCAAAATCTACTTGACGAGGAAGAGTCGCTCATTCATGTTGGCTGTGTTTCTTATCGTGGCCACGACTAGAGTGGCGAGTGTAGCTATGGGGATACGTCTACAAGCCTTCCGACTATCATTCTGACAAGCGACCTGGTGAGTTGGCTCTTGCTGCGATGTTTCACTTTGTTTCGGCTACCTTCAATTTAGTGTTCATGACGTGGCGTACTGGATTCCAAAATTTCCTGGTTTCAAGGAAATAGTGCCACACGACGAAGCGATGCATTGACTCTACCTGCTAGCATATTGTTCCGTGGCGCCTTCTTCCAGTATCCTTGGCAGGGAAGGAGAATGACATGGACTAGGACGGACAAAGAATCAGTGCCGCTTGTTAGCGATGTGCAGTCTACTGGACCTATGCAGGTGCGAGGACAGTACACCAATGGAGCTAGATCTCTGGCACAGCACTACGAGCTAAATGAAAGGATTAATTCAACCTGGCATAGGTGATTGGAGAGAGTATGACGGACTGTCTTGGTAAGATGCGACGTTCCCCAACGCAGCGAAACATCTAGTCACAACAACATGATGTGGAATGATATGAAAATTCGTATTGCGTAATAAAATGACATGAGTCATGATGAAAATTTAATGTAGATCTGTTATTTCTTCTTTCTTGGATCTTCTCATTAGAACACAAGTGCCCATTCTTCTTTTATTGCTTGCACACCTGCTAAGCTTTGTCTCTACTTGGTGTCCCATGTTTTCTTGGAGTTTGGGAAGGTCTTGGAATCCTTAGTGGCATTGATACCAGCCATTCTGTGACATGTGCACAATGTATGCTTATTTATGGGGGGATAAATTATGGCACATATACATTTCAGATTGGCACCAAAATTTCCATGATGGAAGTTGGATATATAGACATCACTTTGGCATGAAAAAAGAAATTCCAAAAATTATGCCTAAGCCACCTTTTAGCTTGGCTCGGCTCATATACGGATTCCAACGTGTAAGGTCGGCATAATCTTTCGGTTTAGAAAAAAATTACGAAGTCAGGGCTCGCCATTGCCACTGGTAGCCCTTGGCGGATTATGCCGGCATAATATTTGGCATAATCTTGGAATTTCGTCCAAAAATTATGCTCCGGTATAAAATACGGATTCCAACGTGTAAGGTCGGCATAATCTTTCGGTTTAGACAAAAATTATGCTTAGGGCATGGCCGTGTGTGTATGCGTGGTTTCTCAATCCTCTATGTACAGCGTGAATACATAGTGGAACCGAGCATAATTCAGCATAATTCAGCATATTTGTTGGCATAATGGTGGCATAATCAAAAGCTAAATTTGACGATTGGCCGAGCATAGTCCGCCAATGGCTAGCCACTGGTATCCGCTTCGCCGCATTAGGGACCTTTCGCATTTGCTACGAATCGAATGCGAAACGAAAGTTTGATTCGGCTCGTATCGTTTCGTTGAAAACAGGATTCAGGTTTCGCAAGTCGTCATGCAAATGTGCATGGCAACTACGAATATGGCCAGTAGCTTAGCGTACGAGTGTTTACACACACACACGTGCATGGATCATGGAATCAAGGGAAAATGGTTTCCCGTATGTCACGTGATTGTCGCCTTGGAGTTGACCAATGACAGATCAAACAGTGTGGGCGGGAAAGCGCGGTCCTGCCTGCTCAAAGTAATGATGGAACCGGATCCGCTGCCGGTCGTCAAGTGACGACGGTCAGGAACGGATTCCACTGCCCGTCGTCACTTGACGACGGGCAGGAACGAATTCCACTGCCCATCGTCACTTGACGACAGGCAGGAACGGATTCCACTGCAAGTGACGACGGGCAGTAGCCACTGGACTGACTCTCTACTTCATGGTCTTTCACTGGTTACTAATAAAATAACTATAAAAGTCTAAAGCAGAAGAGCGACTGTTTGCAACCACAGCTGTCATCATGGCGCTCCAACATTTGATCTGGAACTGGGAGAAAAGAAGCCCCTTTGTTGAACGATATTGGCGATGTGAATGAGCTCCTCCGAAAAGCTGAAGGAGATCTTGCACGAGCTGGATGAGCCTCAACCAAAGCGCACAATGCTCAGCAACCTGCAGGACCCGCGCAATTTGCCGAGGTTTCCGATCAAGACCTGAGAAAAATCCGTAGGAACAGAACTGTCAGACTGCCCGATACAATGTCAATGGCACCATGAGAAAAAAAGCACAATGGGCTACTACAAAAAACAGTAGATCTACCAGAAAACAATCACAAGACACAAAACACAATGCATGCGGGTGTGTCTACACTTTGTAGTCTGTCATGTATCTCTTTATTTGGCTTGGGTGCACACGGGAAACACGTTCCAATCACTCATACTCGGCCAGTACCGCTGTTCATCCAGCTCTTGCCGCTATCGCGGCGCGGGCTGGATTCCGCGGTACTGCCCTCGTACTCGTGCAGGAACCTGTACGTACCTGGCAAAACATTTGTATCTGGCCAAATAAATGTGTACCTGGCCAAATAAACTAAAGTTTTTTTTATTATGCGATTATTACCAGAAAAATAATAATATGTAGCGCAAAATAAAGAGAAGGAAAATAATAACCGGTCAAGCGCTAAATACAAACAGAAGAAAAAGAAATCATAAGCCAATACGCGCTAAACTGCACTTAAATTATAATGAAGGGAGAAAAACTGGAATCCGCGGAAATTCTAACATACAAAATGACACAGAGAAAAAGGGGAAAAACCGGGGGAATCAGACAAGTTGTCTACAGATGACACTCGGAGACAGCAAGTGTGGCACAATATGCATGAGGGTCATACCTGCTCGACTTGTGGCGATGCCCACGAAGGCATGCCACGGCCGCCTTCATGAGAGCAAAGGACAGCTGGGCTCTGATCAAAGCCATTGCCACAGAGAAAGGCTCACCATTCTTCTCAGACTTGATGCCTGCAATGCGGCCAAAGAGACTGGATGCTGCCTGCCCTTGGCCACCAGTCGTACTGAACGCCACGGGGATGAAGGAAGCGTGCTCAACGTTGAGAATGCGACTCTCATAACTCCTCCGTTTCTCCTCTTCGTGCTTTCTGTAGCTGCCAGCGATCGTTGGTTTCCGATTTGAGGGGGCAAATGGGTTGAAAACCCGGACATCTAGAAAGGTCCTCTCAAACCGTCCACCGTGTAGACCGCTGACAACTACATCCAGCCGAGCTTGTTCTGCCGTGATGGTGGACCGCAGCGGAAAGCGCTCACCGGTCACAGGCTGGAGTTGCGGCTCAACATGAACATCATGTGCGACGTCGCGTAGCAGTGCTGCTGTTAGGTCTCGGAGCTCGTTGTGCCGTAACGAGCGATAGCCACCGATGGCACATGACATCGTATGGGTGGTCGAGAATGGCTTTCCACACGCGCATGTTGCAGGTAAGCGATCAGGATCTCATCCGTACCTGAGGCATATGGCATCGCGGAAGGCGCCCTTGTGCAGGGTGAAGCCATGCCTTCGCAATGGCCGACATATCAGCCAACTTGAGGCGCCTTTCTCCGAGGCAAGCTGTAGGGTGCGTTGCAGGTCTGGCTCGAGTTGGGCCATTAGGGTGACGACATGGTCCTTCTCCTTCTTTCCAGCGGCTGTCCTAGCTGTTGCCTTCAGTACCCGCATCCGCCCTGATATGCCTTCCATGGATGACTGCTGTTGTATGATGTTATCAATGAGTGGATGGGTGATGGACAGAGAGCGCTGATGTTCATCATTCAGCTGACTGGGGTCAACAATACCGAGACCACCGAGACGACACGGAAGGTCAAGCACAGCGCGGATCACCGAATTCAGTGGGTGACGCCCTGTCAATGCCGGAATGAAATCATTGCGGATCACATCCTCAAGTGGCTGTAGCAGATCTGCTGCTCCTGGTACAGTACGAACCAGAAATGACCATTTGTGCTTGAGGCCTTGGCTAAATGCAGTGTAGGCGGCTTGCGGTTGGCTAAGTCAGGGGCGTGCTCGGCCCCCCAACTAGGGGGGTGCACGGGAGCCGAGGGGAGCCCCCCCCGGCAATTTTCTGCAATTTGTTTGCAATCTTTCTTGAATTTTAGAGCATATTTGCATACATTACAATTCCCTTGGATGAGATTGAAAATTTTTGGGGGGTGCACGTGCCCCCCGTGCCCATCGCCGAGCACGCGCCTGGCTAAGTGCATAGGTTGCGAGGCGCTTGACTTCTTTGCACCATTGCTCTGCCTTTTGAGCGGCGTACTGATTGCAATACTGCTCTGTGCCCAGGACAGCTCCAAGATGTCGGTGACCGTCCGCAGTTACGCGAACTTCAGTGTCGGCGAACACTTCCCGCGCGATGTTGAGGAACTGTGGTTTGACGAGTAACACAGACTTTGCAGCATTCGTATAGTAGCCGTAAGCTGGACCACGCGTTTCCAGGATAGACCACCATTCTCTGAGACGAATTATCTTACTTGCAGCTGTAGAATCATCAGCGTACCACGCTTATACGGCGTTGGCTGCAGCGGCTTCGCGCATTAATGGCAACGTCCCTAGAGCATACATCACCATGGCGAGGGGATCCCCCTGCGTTGTGCCCTCACCTGGTCAAATAAATGTGTACTTGGCGGATTCGGAGCGCGCCACGAACGAAGAGGCTTCCATTCGTGAAAACGAGCTCTCCGCAGGGACTCTGACGAATCCTCGAACCCAAGTGGCGAATCAGCATTCGTTTCGTATCCGTATGCGGGGTGCGAAAGGTCCCTATATCTCTCTTCGCCCCAACATGCAGATTCCGGCGTATGTGAACACATCTACGAACAACTTTTTTCGTGTACGCTACGAAGGCCAGCCTGCAACCTGTCGTAATTACGTAAATGCTCCCAACCGGGACATATCGCTGCAGCTTGCAAACTCGCCACCGGAACGACATACGCCAAGCAAACCGCGCACACCAGAACAAGCGCAACTGCAACTGTCGGAGTGCAACCTGGTGAACTTAGGCAGTGTTTACATGAGGCGTTTCAACCCGGGTCAGATTTCAACCCGCCATGTGCATAAAATGAATGGCGCGTTTACATGACGCATTGCGCTTGACCCGAGTTGAAATTTCGCCCCGGGTTGATTTGGTTGATTTGAACCTCCCCCCAAGGGGAGGGTTGAAATCAACCCGGGTCAAGAAAATCGTACAAACGTACTTCTGTGTGTATCTCGTGCCTGGTTTGAACGGCACTGCAGATGCAAATTTCGCGCGAACGGATTCACGTGACCATACCGGACTGTATAAGTGGACTTTTGGCGGCATATCAGTATTTGACCCGGGTCAACTGTCTTCATGTAAACGCTCACCTCTTTTGTCTATCCTACAGACTTTCAACCCGGGCTGAACTCGACCCGGGTTGAAATTTCTCATGTAAACACAGCCTTACAGTACAGACCGGAGTCCAAAATGAGTCGCCAGACTCGGCACGCTCCAGTAGCCAGGTAGCAGCAGGCCCAGCACCAGCCCGACTACACTCTCGAGTATTGGATGTAGTAAGAGTGCAACTCCTGTGGGGTCAAATGTTGGAAAACCCGCAGTCAGCACTGAAGTTGAAAACTACGAAAGTCGATGAGGGGACTACGGAGGGTACTTCAGCGTTGAAAAACCTGATAGATACTGAGCCAGACATGTCGTCCGCACAGGGATCGCTTTCAAGCATGACAGCACACCCCGGAACTCCCCTCGCGGACGTCGAAGTAGACATTGCAGAGCGAGATCTAGAACGGACAGAGCGACTCCTATCAAAAGTGGCATCAAACATCTACACCGAAGCGATCCACACTTGGTTCAGGCCTGAACGTCGAGGCAGGAATGCCAGCACTGAGTCCTCACCAGAGTTGGCAACTGGGGTGAAGAAGAAGGATTCCCGGAAACTAACAAATCTAGCTCCAGGCTCACGATTTAGTCCGCTTGCCAGAGTCTGATCGTGACTTAAAAAAAAGATAAAATAGAAAAATGCAGAACTATAACTATAATGTCACACCCCCAGCACCACCTACCCCCTCGGTCCAGTCACTCAGTGTGGGATTTCTGAATGTGTGTAGTGTTCGGCGGAAGGTAGCAGAAGTTCAAACGTTCATCTCAACACGAGGCATTCACGTTCTCGCAATAGCCGAGACATGGTTGACCCCGGATGTGTCCGATCAGGAGTTGTCCATCCCGCACTTCAAACTATACAGAAGAGACAGACCTGATCAGCAAGTTGGCGGAGTTGCTGTGTACGGTCATGAGTCACTGGCTGTTCGACAACAGGCCGATTTAGCTTACCTGAAGCCATGTATCGATCTGGATGGTCTTTATTCCTTCTTCCAGAGAATCATGAACATCGGCCCAATGACCATATTCGAACCAAAGTGTAAGCAGCCTACACAGACACAATAATAATACTTGTTAAGTTCCAAGAAAGACAAAAAAAAGGAAGCTAACACAAAACATTTGTGCAGTGCGAGCTAGAGATGCTGTGGCTGGACATTCTAGCCCCGGGTCGACATGGAACGCTCCTCGGCTGTTGTTATCGGCCGCCAAATAGTTCTGCTGCCTACTGGACAGCACTGGATCAGAACATCGAGGAAACTGTTCAGGGATGTCAGCAGTCCACTGTGCTACTTGGCGACTTCAATGTTGATTTTAGCAATCCAACTTCTCCATCTGCATCCGCTTTGTACAACATACTTTCCCACTACAATCTCTGCAATTATGTTACATCTCCAACACGAGTCACGGCAACATCATCCACGATGCTAGATTTGTTCCTTTCATCCTCCCCATTGGATGGTACCTGTGAAGCAATACACTTAGACATAAGTGATCACTTTGCTGTGCCGGCCCGGCTGAGCATTCACACACACCAGCACGTGTCATCGTCAGTAAAAACCAAGGTTCATTCGGTTCATAAGCAGATGACACCCATATTATTCGTCATAAGATCAAAGACACTGAGCGGAATGAATTCGGAGGAGTTTCACAAGAAACTGCTCTCAGTACTGTATTTGACCACCAAGGCGAACAAAGGCCAAGAACGGCAAATAAATTCAAAAACAAACAGAACGACGACCAGCTAGCCGTGAACAGGAGATGGAACGCAAAAACAACAAAAGTGGCTTTCAAAAGGGATGCGCTGGTTGCTTGTTGCTTTTCTTTCTCGTTGCCAAGTCGATTTCTATTGTAACGCCGTTTGTTCCGGATTTTGTACCTGTACCTAGTGTGGTTGCCACCTGATATACATCATGAACATGTAAAACATATTATTGGATATTCCAAGTGATATGATGTTGATGAGTGATCTGCAGACCTACGAAAACAACTTCAGATCAACAACTGGCTTCTTCTGTAAAAAAAAAACAGGCTTATACTGAAACGGACAGCTTCTAGAACATTCAACTGCCTCGCATAACTAGCACGAGAAAGAACAGAGAATTAAGCTTCACCCAAACGGTCCGGACGAGATAATAGGGAGGTTTCGCTCTACGTAATTACGTATGAAAATCCGTATGTCGTACGCGCCGGGGAGCGAGGACAACTTTCATACGTAAATCTCTCTACGGATTTCCGTAGGAAAGCTCTTTCCTACGTTGGGTCCTCCGTAGGACTTTTTGAAATATTTTTGCATTTTCCGCATTTGTCCATGGCAACATTCAAGCCGCGCGAAACACAAGGTACACACACTGTACACCACGTGCAAAATATCATGGAAAACGCGGTTTCGGTTCATGGTGCATACGGTGGGCGCATGCAGCCAACGCGTCTCCAAAGCAACAACGCATGTTGAGCAGTCGTGGAGAAATCACGTAAAGCGAAACCCAACAGCTCTGATTTTCACGTATGAAAATTCCGTGCAGTTCATACGTTATTTTCATACGTAATTCCGTAGAGCGAAACCTCCCTTATAACTGATGGTTTTGTCTTCTTTCACATAGGTTTGAATGAGACCATTTGCCGGCAAAACTGTAGCATCATTTCCGACCTGGACAAATGCGATTTGTGTACCGGTTATCTGTACAACTACACTTGCATAGGTGAGTAGTGGTATTCGATTAGTACGTACAGTATACTGTATGAGGTGACTTCAAGAGTTCAAGTACCGCTTTGAGTCAAATTCTGACTTTGGGGCTCATAATATGGCCGAATTTGGACAATGTCTTAGCCGATCGAAAAGCCGATCAGGCAGAACAAATCGGGCCGATTTTGGAAATGCCTAAACACAGCTTCCCCATCACTCTCTCTCTATTTATATATATTTTTTATTTTTGAAGTATATATAGGTATGGTCAGGGAAAGTCCCGGTTCGTAGGCCTACAACACGGTCAGCGTGTTCTTGAGCGCAGTAACAACACAAGTGTGATTACTTCCAGACCAACGGGCGTTCAAGGCGAGTAACAAGCGCACTTGACGAAGGTGACTCTGAAATCTCGTGAGCTGTGATCCACGCGACTTGGCATTCTTGCGTCACAAGGCACGTGATTTCACCGTGCCTCTTGTAGTAAAATTCAAGAATTGCGCTCATTCCTTCAGTCACTTTTGCATCAACAGTCGCACAAAAAATTATTGGTGGCGCAAGGAGAAGCTTGTCGTTTGGAGTGACAAGTGATCACCGCTGCTTTTCCTTGTCAGAGCCAACAATACACTTTGTTCTGCGGCCTTGGGAGTAGTGTTGGAGTAGAAATTGCTGAGGATACGTCGCGGAGGGGCGAGCTTTCCTGCGCAGGTATGACTTTGGCCGTATTTCAGCATGGTCGAGTGGAAAAATTCAAAAAAGTTTATTTCAAGAAAACCCCAAAAGGAAGATGGGGGACATGTCCTCAGCGCTAGAAGAGGTGTTCTACTATCTGCCGGTGTATAGTTCTGGCCAATTGAGGACGTAGCTGGCTGTTTTGCCAGCGTTTGTAAATTGGCTATTTTCAAGACGATCATTTGTGGCGTCAGGGGGTGATGGACCTCGTCTTCTGGGATCCTGGCGTGGCTAAGCGGTACTGCTCCATGAACTCTTCTAAGGTGAGGCAATGTTGGCTTGATGGAGTTTTGTTCATAGCTTGTTCGTATACGCTGTGGCGTGACTCGTTTCTAGACCTATAAATAATGTGATATTTCGGCCATTTCTGAGGGGTATCCAAATTTCAAGGTTCCCTTCAGAAACTTTTTCAAGGGCTTTGCATAATCGATCCACACCCCAAAGGGAACCTACCTGCAAATTTTGAGCGAAATCAGAGAGATCCACTTGCACATATACTTTGGTATTCTCAGACATACTCTCTAAACTATTTACAGCCATTCTTGCTTTTCTGTCTCAAACCAAGATCATTACATCCCTTTCATAAGCATCATTATCAGCATAATAAGGCAATTATTGGAGCATTTTTGCTAGCATTATACAAAAGTTTTTCGTAGCATTATCCGCTGGACCCAAGACGTGCACATGTTCAAATTACTATGACGCAATCAGAACTGGTAAAGGGCGCCAGGTTTTCACTTTGGGTTTGGTTTCACCGAGCGCAATTGTATGTGGTACATACATAGTAACTCCTCCATCAACATGGTCTTTTATTTCCGCTCCTATAACCATTAGTCTTGTCGTTGATGTTGCTGATGTTGTCGTTATCGTTTTTGGGATCTTTCATTTTTATTTTCGCAATAACCTGTGGCCACAGAGAGCAGAAGGAACACAGATACGGAATCAAATAAAAATATGAAAAAACCACTGCACTCTAAATCGCAACGATACCAATTTTAGAGTTTATGGAGTGCAGCGGTGTGGTATAATGAGGCTATAGTTACGATAAGCTATACGAGAAATTACATACCGAAGAGATAAAGATACGCAGGCTTTGAAATCATATCTGTGCTTGACTGACGATGTAGGGAAGCTGGGGAGTTTCTTAACCTTCTTGTGCGTTTTGTGGGTATCTCAAAGATTCAGAAGATTCTTAGGTTGCCAATGAGTTGGATTCGGAGTAGATGGATTGCAGGAATGTGTGGTGGTGCACATCTATGATGCCGGCTGTGTGCAAAAATGAATTAGCAGAGATTATGGCAGCTGCTAGATGAGTGTGCCTTCGAAGAGTGTGCCTTCGCCTGTAGTCCATTTTCGGTGACTGTACCATGCCAAGCCTTGTTGTTCCATCTTAAACTTGAATTGTGTGTTCTATTTATGGCCACGTCATCCACGTTTTATGATATTTTTTGTTCCCTCTCTTATTAACATTTCAGTTGTTTTAAAGCGATAGCGGCTGTCGTGAGTTCCCTTCGGGAAGGCACGCGATAATTTACTCTGTACTTTTTTTCCTTTTATATTTTTGTTTCACGGAGAAGACGTGGTGTTGGTAGCTGAGTTGTTAGTTTCTAGTCGAGAATAAAAAAACCATGGCGAAATGCCTTTTTGCTTTTGTTCTCATGGTTTCATGCAATTAGCCCTTTGTGAATAAAGTTTTAGTGCATTCTCAAGTAAATGAACTTGTAGCAGTCAAAGGGCGTTGGCGTCTAATGGATAGGTACCAGGAGTGATTCCATTGAATTTATGCATAAGCGTGCGCACGCACGCACGCGCACACACACACAAACACACACAAACACACGCCACACACAGACAGGTCACAAGAGAAGCATGAAAATCTCCAAATGTACATGATATACACCCAAGTCTGTGGACAGCAACTGTTTCGCTCTGTTAGAGCTCATCAGCACAGCTCAGAGGACCGAAGCGCAGCTCTTCACAATGAAATATGTTTCCGTGAAGCAAAGCATTTTTATAAAGAGCTGCAAACCTTGCAACAGCGCTTTCTCACCCCCACCGCACCGCTTCTGGCACTTCTTAGTATAGTCAGCCTGGCACACACATACACTCAGAAAGTTCTAATCTTTGTACACCGCTGTATCAATGGATACTGTAGCCCACTCCTACAGCAACTCTTTACAACGACTGCTCCAAACACCGTGCTAAACGATCAGCGCATCACTAGGGGCCAAGTTTCCAACTTGCTCCAAGTCCCTTTCCTTCGCGGGCCTGCTGGTCGCTCGAGTATGATGTTTCACGGCAGTATTGCATGGAACGCCCTCTCGGCTGATGTAAGATCGATAACTGCTGCCGATCAATTCAAGAGAGCCCTATCTGATATTGACGTACTTAACTTGTAAACTCTATGCCAACAGTCCAACACCCCTCGCCGTACTTCATGTTACCTGGACTGCTAAAAAGTGTCCCCATCCAACAAAGTCTGCCAATGTTCACACATATATTCTCATGAAATGCTTCCACTACATTTTATTTGTTATCACATTATAAAAAGTTCACACAAATTGAGTGTCAGCATACACACAATGTCATAACAAACATTTCTATAATAATAATAATCATACCGCTTGCATGTCTTTATCTCTATACATTTCCTCATATAATTTTCTTCATCTTTCTGTGAGAACCGGACCTATAGGCCGGTAAGAAGGCAATCATGCCTGTGCAATTGGTGAAGTAAAATAAAAGTCAACAACAACAACAACAACAAACCCCGCCAAGAGTACTCTAAATGATGTACACCCATATATCTTCTCTTATAGCAAAGATAGGTTAGATCACACACACACACACACACACACACACACACACACACACACACACACACACACACACACACACACACACACACACACACACACACACACACACACACACACACACACACACACACACACACACACACACACACACACACACACACACACACACACACACACACACACACACACACACACACACACACACACACACACACACACACACACACACACACACACACACACACACACACACACACACACACACACACACACACACACACACACACACACACACACACACACACACACACACACACACACACACACACACACACACACACACACACACACACACACACACACACACACACACACACACACACACACACACACACACACACACACACACACACACACACACACACACACACACACACACACACACACACACACACACACACACACACACACACACACACACACACACACACACACACACACACACACACACACACACACACACACACACACACACACACACACACACACACACACACACACACACACACACACACACACACACACACACACACACACACACACACACACACACACACACACACACACACACACACACACACACAAACACACACACACACAGACAGGTCACAAGAGAAGCATGAAAGTCTCCAAATGTACATGATATACACCCAAGTCTGTGGGCAGCAACTGTTTCGCTCTGTTAGAGCTCATCAGCACAGCTCAGAAGACCGAAGCGCAGCTCTTCACAATGAAATCTGTTTCCGTGAAGCAAAGCATTTTTATAAAGAGCTGCAAACCTTGCAACAGCGCTTTCTCACCCCCACCGCACCGCTTCTGGCACTTCTTAGTATAGTCAGCCTGGCACACACATACACTCAGAAAGTTCTAATCTTTGTACACCGCTGTATCAATGGATACTGTAGCCCACTCCTACAGCAACTCTTTACAACGACTGCTCCAAACACCGTGCTAAACGATCATCGTCTGCCAATGTTCACACATATATTCTCATGAAATGCTTCCACTACATTTTATTTGTTATCACATTATAAAAAGTTCACACAAATTGAGTGTCAGCATACACACAATGTCATAACAAACATTTCTATAATAATAATCATACCGCTTGCATGTCTTTATCTCTATACATTTCCTCATATAATTTTCTTCATCTTTCTGTGAGAACCGGACCTATAGGCCGGTAAGAAGGCAATCATGCCTGTGCAATTGGTGAAGTAAAATAAAAGTCAACAACAACAACAACAAACCCCGCCAAGAGTACTCTAAATGATGTACACCCATATATCTTCTCTTATAGCAAAGATAGGTTAGATCACACACACACACACACACACACACACACACACACACACACACACACACACACACACACACACACACACACACACCATTGACCATTGACCAT